GACGCCAGGAAATAATCAAATTGAGGGCTGAAATCAACAAAGTAGAAACCAGGAAAACAATACAAAGAATCAATGCAACGAAGAGTTGGTTCTTTGAGAAAATCAACAAGATAGACAAACCTTTGTCCAAACTTACCAAACAGCAGAGAGTGAACACGCAAATTAACAAAATCAGAAATGAAAAGGGGAACATAACAACAGACTCTGAGGAAATCCAGAGAATCATTAGGTCATACTTTGAAAACCTGTACTCCACAAAATTCGAAAATTTAAAGGAAATGGATGACTTCCTGGACATCTATCATTTGCCAAAACTAAATCAAGAACAGATAAGCAATTTAAATAGACCTATAACCCCTATGGAAATAGAAGCTGTCATCAAAAGTCTCCCAACCAAAAAAAGCCCAGGTCCAGATGGCCTCAGTGCAGAATTCTACCACAAATTCAAAGAACAGCTTATACCAATTCTTCTCAAAGTGTTCCACACAATAGAAGCAGAAGGGTCTTTGCCAAACTCTTTCTATGAGGCTTCAATAACCTTGATCCCCAAGCCACACAAAGATACAACCAAGAAAGAGAACTTCAGACCAATATCCCTCATGAACATTGATGCAAAAATACTCAATAAAATACTGGCAAATCGGTTCCAAGAACACATCAAAACAATCATTCACCACGATCAAGTAGGTTTCATCCCAGGGATGCAGGGATGGTTCAACATACGAAAATCCATCAACGTAATCCACCATATAAACAAGCTGAAAAACAAAAATCACATGATCATATCACTAGATGCTGAAAAAGCCTTTGACAAAATCCAACACCCCTTCATGATAAAGGTCTTGGAGAGATCTGGGATAACAGGGACATACTTAAACATAATAAAAGCCATATACAGTAAACCAACAGCCAACATCAAACTAAACGGACAGAAACTCAACGCAATTCCTCTAAAATCAGGAACAAAACAAGGCTGTCCACTCTCTCCATACCTTTTCAACATGGTACTTGAAGTTCTAGCTATAGCCATACGACAACAAAGGGGGATCAAGGGGATACAAATTGGGAAGGAAGAAGTCAAACTTTCACTGTTTGCAGACGATATGATAGTTTACATCAATGACCCAAAGAACTCTACCAGGGAACTCTTACAGCTGATTAACACCTTCAGCAAAGTGGCAGGTTACAAGATCAACTCAAGAAAGTCAGTAGCCCTACTATATACAGATGATAAAAGGGCTGAAAGAGAAATCAGAGAAACATCACCCTTTACAATTGCCACAAACAACATAAAATACCTTGGGGTAACGCTAACCAAACAAGTGAAAGACCTGTATCGTAAGAACTTTGAATCTTTAAAGAAAGAAATTAAAGAAGCCCTCAGAAAATGGAAAGATCTCCCATGCTCTTGGATAGGTAGGATCAATGTAGTAAAAATGGCAATCCTGCCAAAAGCAATCTACAGATTCAATGCTATCCCCATTAAAATCCCAGCACAATTCTTCACAGACCTTGAAAGAACAATAATCAATTTTGTATGGAAAAACAAAAGACCCAGGATAGCCAAAACAACCCTGTTCAACAAGGCAACGTCCGGAGGCATCACTATCCCTGACCTCAAGCTCTATTATAGAGCTATAGTCCTGAAAACAGCTTGGTATTGGCACAAAAATAGACAGGCAGACCAATGGAATCGAATTGAAAATCCGGGTATTAACCCACACACGTACGAACATCTGATCTTTGACAAAGAAGCTAAAAATATACAATGGAATAAAGAAAGCATCTTCAACAAATGGTGCTGGCATAATTGGATACTGGCATGTAGAAAAATGTGGATCGATCCATGTTTATCGCCATGCACAAAACTTAAGTCCAAATGGATCAAAGACCTCAACATAAATCCAGCCACACTGAACCTCTTAGAAGAGAAAGTGGGTGGTACCCTTGAAAGAATTGGTACAGGAGACAGCTTCCTGAACATAACACCAGTAGCACAGACAGTGAGATCAACAATTAATAAATGGGACCTACTGAAACTGAGAAGCTTCTGTAAGGCAAAGGACACAGTCAGCAAGACAAAAAGGCAGCCCACAGAATGGGAAAAAATATTCACTAATCCCACATCTGACAGAGGGTTGATCTCCAAAATTTACAAAGAACTCAAGAAACAAGTCTCCAAAACAGCAAAGGACCCAATTAAGAAGTGGGCTGCAGAACTAAATAGAGAGTTTTCAATAGAGGAGTCTAAAATGGCTGAGAGGCACTTGAGAAAGTGCTCAACATCCTTAGCCATCCGGGAAATGCAAATCAAAGCAACTCTGAGATACCATCTCACTCCTGTCAGAATGGCTAAAATCAAAAACACCAATGACAATTTATGCTGGAGAGGATGTGGTGAAAGGGGGACACTCCTCCATTGCTGGTGGGAGTGCCAACTGGTTCAGCCACTTTGGAAAGCAGTATGGAGATTCCTCAGAAAAATGGGAATAAACCTACCACAAGACCCAGCAACTCCACTCTTAGGCATATATCCAAAAGATGCCCATTCATATAACAAAGATGTCTGTTCCACTATGTTCATAGCAGCTTTATTTGTAATAGCCAGAACTTGGAAGCAACCTAGATGTCCCTCACCCGAAGAATGGATAGAGAAAATGTGGTACATCTACACAATGGAGTATTATTCAGCAGAAAAAAATAATGGAATCATGAGATTCGCAGGCAAATGGATGACACTAGAAGAAACCATCCTGAGTGAGGTAACCCAGTCACAAAAAGAGAAACATGGCATGTACTCTCTCATATATGGATTTTAGACATAGATCTGGGGAGTGCCAGCCTACAATCCTATTGCCAGAGAGTCTGGGAAACAGAAACTTCATTTACTGGCTGGTTAAGTACTGAGCTGAACTCAAGAAAGCCAGTATCAGAGAGGGAGGACTGATGATCAAAGGGATTAAGACTGGGCTGGTTGAACCCCCAGAAACAGCTGACCAGACAAAGGTTAACTCTTGAATCCCAGGCATCAGCCTGGGAATCCAGCATGGGACTGATCAAGACCCCCTGAATCTGGGTGTCAGTGAGGAGGCCTAGGTAATCTATTGAGCCTTGGACAGCAGATCAGTACCCATCCCAAGTATACACACGGTCTCTGGACTCCCATAGAACAATGTGAGGTGCACTCTCACCCTGAACTCTTGGGGAAGGGTCTAGGCCCTGCCCTATATGAAATGACAGACTATGGACACCCCCATGGAGGGCCTCACCCTCCCTGGGGGAATGAGGGGATAACGGGGGGGGGGATGGGGGGAGGGCACGGGAGGAGGGGAGGGAAAGGGAGAGGGACCTCGTACTGACTTGTGAAGCAACCTTGTTTCTTATCTAAATTTAAAATGGAAAATAAAAAAAATATTAATAAAAAAAAATGTGCACAGACACGCCCAACTGGTGTTTTCAGCAACTGCATAAAAGCCTTCGCAGGGTTGTGACCCTTTAGAGAAAAGAACATGGAGCCAAGTACACCCTGCCATTACTCTGGCTGTCTACCCAGAGGCAGCTTCCAGGCTGCAGCACATGAAGGAGGAATGCAAACAGAGAAGGAGCAGAGGTGAGCTGTTGGATGCTCAAGACATTTAGGTTGTATGAGTCAGAGAGAAGGCAGTCTTGAGGACAGGATGTCCAAGTATATGCATTGGAGTCTCTTAAGTCCTTAGACCAACATTTCTCAACCGTGGTGGGGGGCGGGTCAAGTAACTGCTTCGCGGGAGTTGTATATCAGATACCCTGCATATCAGACATTTCCACTGTGATTTATAACAGTAGCAAAATTAAAGCAACAAAAATGATTTTATGGTTGGGGATCACCACAGCATGAGGAGCTGTGTTAACAGGGTCGCAGCATTAGGAAGGCTGAGACCACTGCTTTAGGCAATTATCAGTCTGTGGATACCAAGTAAGAAGCCTCACAAGACTCAGGGAACAAAATTTTAAGGTAAGTTACTGGACAGCCAAGGGAAAAAATTCTCACAACTCACAACAGCTTGAATTTGTTCCACGTCCCCACAGCCCAAATGGAGAAGCCTTGTGAATACAGAGTCTCTCGGCACAGACTCCAGAAATGAGCCCTACAATATGGTTTATTTGGTGGTCTACTCTCCACAACACAGTCACAGATTTCTTCCTTAAACAAGAGCCAGACCATGCCATCCTGGCTCCAAGGGCTGTCTTCTCGCAGTGAGTCAAATGCCCGCAGTGTGTCATGAGGCTTTATATGACCCCAACTCCCCTGTCCCCAGCCATTCCCCTGCCAGTCTCCTCTCTATCGCCTTTCCCTTCCTGCTTCCTTGGGGGACGGAGCCTTGCACTGGCTCCTCCCTCTGCCTGGAAGGCTCCTCCCTCTGCCTGGGAGGCCATGGTACAGACATCCACCAGGATTCCTCCCTCACCTTCCCTTGAGACTGGCTTACAGGACACTTTCTTGGGACGGCCTTTCTGATCACTCTGCTCAAAATGACAATCCCTCCTGTCCAAACCCCCTTCTTCCTCCTTCACCAACGTTTCATTTTCTGCAACGCTGCTTGTTTATCGCAACTGACGTCCTAACTTACTGACTTTTTTTTTAACAAGTCAGCCCCATATTTTAAAATTTAAGCTCCCTGAAGGCAGGATGCTTTTGTGTGTTAATTGCATCGTCCCCACACCAGGATCAGCACTGAAATGCTTGCCAGAGATGATTGTCTACAGCCTGGTGTGTAGAGTGAGTTCTAGGCCAGCCGGGACTACATATGAGACTTGGCTCAAAAGTAAAATGGTAAAACCCCAAAAGACTTTCAAGAAACTCGAGGGCAAAAATAACTGCTATAAATTTCCTAGAAAACTAGTTGGACTTTTAAAAAAAAGTTCAAACAGGGGCAGGGGAGTTGGTGCAGAGGTTAAAAGAACTTGTTGATTTTCCAAAGGACAGGGGTTCGATTCTCAGCATCCACATGACAACTCACAATGGTCTGTTAACTCCAGGAGAGTCTGATGTCCTCTGCTGGCCTCAGTGGATACTTCATGCAAGTGGTACACGTATACATGCAGGCAGTTACACACCGAAAACGAAAAAGATAAATAAATGTTTTTTAAATGTTTAAGTAGACTTTTACACAATAATTCATTCCAAATCTGTTGTCCTAAGGATAACATGCAGTTTTCTATACACAAAAATGTAAATACTAATATTATTTCGAGGATATAAAATAAGCAGAATCCAGTTGGCAGTCATCACTCTTGTACAGTCCAGGACTCTGAGCGCAGGGAATGGAGCTGTCCACAGTGGGCTGGGTCTTCCAGATCCATTAACATAATTAAGATAATCTCCCACAGACGTACCCACAAGCTAACCTGATCTAGACAATCCCTCATGGATACTCTCCCGACAATTAAAACTAACCTTCAGAGCAAGTCCTCTGAGTCTATAGGAGTTTTAAAGAAGGGAGAAATTAGAAGGAGCCAGGAGGGGATAACGGCTAGAAGGAGCCAGGAGGCAATAACGGTGGCCACCGCTGTGAAGGCAACATAGAAGATGACATCTGCAGCAGGTGAGTTCTCAAAAAACATCTGTGTCTACAGACAGATGGAGGGTTGAGGAAAGGCTTCTTTTATGAATCAGAGGCATTCATAAGTAGATAGCCACAATATTATAGTTAATATCTAAATGTACAACAGGAAATGAGAGCAGTCGTTAGACTTAATTACCTGAAGGATCAGAACCGTAGAAACTAGCAGCTGTTGTTATTGGTCCGGGTGGATGGATGGCACTGGCTGATGACCTCTGACTTGCAATCAGAATCCTGCTCTTGGTGGATGGGAGACGTGACATTGCCCCCAATCCCAACTGGGGCTTAAGGAGCATGGCGGAGCGATAGAAAGTGGGGGGCACTTCATAATGAGTGTAAGGAGGTGAGCAAAATTCTTCTTTCCCAGGGTGGTCCGTGACCTATGATGAGAGATCAGAGTAAATAAACAGGGGCAGGAGATCTATGCTCAACTGACAAGCACCATCATGCCATTAGCTCCCTGATCAGAGATCTGGTCTCTGTCTCTCAGCCCAGTGTCCTCATCTCTATGATGACAGTACAACTGAGTGATTGCTTGAGCCCCTGCCAGTTATAATACTTTATCAATCTACATGTCGTAGGGAGATAAGAAGAACTCAGTTTTAAGATTTCTTTTCCATTTCACTGTTACAAATGCACTGAAATTTGAGTGACTACTTATTAAATAAACAATGTCAGGGGTGGAGAAAGGCTCAGCAGTTAAGAGGAATTGCAGCTCTTGCAGAGGACTGAGGTCGAGTTCCCAGCACCCACAAGGTGTCTCACAACCATCTGTAACTTCATTACACAGGATCTGTTGCCCTCTTCTGGCCACCTCAGGCACTGCAACATATGGTGCACACTCATGCAGGCAGGCAAAACACCCATACACATAAAACAAAAATAAATCTCAAAAATAAAATAAATAATGTTGATGAACCAAAGAGAGAATTTATCAACTGTTCAAAAATGGCTTCCACTCATGTGCTATATACACACACACAGGTACACTCACACACACACACACACACACACACACACACACACACACGCTAAATGCTCTCAGGAATATTTGGGTAGATTCCTCCGGGATAAAAGATCCAGACAAGAGTCCTGGGTATTGCTCAGTTCAGAACACATATCAACGGTGTCTACACATAAATATTTGCTAAGTAAAGGAATAATGTTTCCCCCTACCAATTCCTCAGTTTAATGGCATAGCATTATTATTAATTTTCCTGTGCTTAACAGTTCAGAGCACAATCTATAGTAATCATAATTATATATCTACATCCTGCTCCCAGAATGTCTGTTCTCACATAATTTTTGGATTTGAGTGCTGGGGATGGGACTCTACCCTAACCTTTCCAGTTTATTGTTTATTTATATTAAACAAGCAAAAAGGAACCACACAGTCTGTTTGTTATAATAATTAAAAAAAACAGTGCTGTCCTGGGTGCTGGTGGCACACGCCTTTAATCCCAGCACTTGGGAGGCAGAGGTAGGTGAATCTCTGTGAGTTTAAGACCAGCCTGGTCTACAAGAGCTAGTTTCAAGACAGCCTCCAAGGCCACAGAGAAACCCTGTCTCAAAAAAAATCAAACAAAAAGCAGTGTTGGGGCAATGTATGAGTAGACATTAATTAATTTTACTCTAAATCATAATTTATTCTGTATGTCAAGCTGCTGTGTGTTCATGAATTACGATTATTTCACAATATCTTTTAATAGGGGCTCTAAAAGCTTTGATCCGAGCTGTTGAAGACATAAGCCCTATTTTGATCCCCTTTTAATGTTGAAATGGATACAAAGTTCTTTAAACCCTCATCACTGAAACAAAAGATTAGGCATTTAAAGTTTCATTATAATCACATCGTGAAATATGCATGACTATTAGACTGTACTCAGACTGGGGTGAATTCTGCTCCCTGGAAAGAACATTCACCATCTGGATACAATTGTTATCATCATCGTCTTACTATCCATCCCTGACTTCTCTTTTCTAGATCCTTCTTTTTAAAATTTTTGGGTGCCACTCATTTCCAGTCTCCCTAAGTAAGGGTTTTAGGATTATAATATGCTGATCTGATTCTTCAGAAACGGGCATTTCAGAGTCCACTAACCTGTCATTTAGCAGCAACTTCAGTGATTCCAGCAGTGTCAATGCCTGACATTTTGCTGGGCAATCGCTTTCTGGTTGCAAACATCTGAGAAGTCCTCCCTAGGCTCTTGTAATGAGTGTTTGATTCTAGTAGCATTCCAGCATGACTACTGAAAGCTAAGAGGTAGCGTCAACCAGACACAAATTGCCTCTACAGATGAACCTTGACTACTGCACCCACCCAACCTGTTTCCTCAGCTTTCTGGTCCACATCATGTCCACAGCAGCCACAGATTCCCATTACCACAGCCAGCCACTCCTTATGGGTCTGTGCAGCCCACACATGATGGACAGACTGAGACTCTTTCTCCAGCATCCTTAGGATGCAGTCGCCACCCTCTCCAGCATCCTTAGGAGACAGGCACCACCCTCTCCAGCATCCTTAGGAGACAGGCACCACCCTCTCCAGCATCCTTAGGAGACAGGCACCACCCTCTCCAGCATCCTTAGGAGACAGGCACCACCCTCTCCAGCATCCTTAGGATGCAGCCGCCACCCTCTCCAGCATCCTTAGGAGGCAGCCACCACCCTCTCCAGCATCCTTAGGATGCAGCCACCACCCTCTCCAGCATCCTTAGGAGGCAGCCGCCACCCTCTCCAGCATCCTTAGGAGACAGGCACCACTCTCTCCAGCATCCTTAGGAGACAGGCACCACCCTCTCCAGCATCCTTAGGAGACAGGCACCACTCTCTCCAGCGTCCTTAGGATGCAGCCACCACCCTCTCCAGAGTCCTTAGGATGCAGCCGCCACCCTCTCCAGCATCCTTAGGATGCAGCCACCACTCTCTCCAGCATCCTTAGGAGGCAGCTGCCAGGCATTTTGCCACAGTGACAAGAAAGAAAAAAGAAAAGCAACACAAGCGTAGATTCTTTTACAAGGTGAAAAATTTGCTTTTCATGTCTAGTTTATGCATTTTTAATTAAACAGGGGGATTCTACTTTTCTTTCATCTTTCTGAAAAACAGAACAGGTTCTATAGTTATGAACACAGCGATGGATGCAAATGTCCCGCTGACCTCCTTCTCCAATTGAGGTATTTTCTGGGAAAACTGTGTGACTCCTCAGATTTCAAACACAGTCCTAAAATCAAAGGATATATGCAAACAAATTACTCCTGCCATAGCCCCCTCCTGCTTTGCCCCATTTTCCCTAGATTCATTTTGCATGAACTTTCTCTGGGGAGACATAAAATTAATATCTGCACTCAAACTGGTACAGCATCAAAAGCTCCCAAAATGACTTCTGCAAGGGGCTGGAGAGATGGCTCAGTGGATAAGAGCACTGTCTGCTCCTCCAGAGGACCTGGGTTGGGTTCCTAGCACCCATGTGGCAGCTCATGACTATCTGTAACTCCAGTTGCAGGAGATATGATGCCCTCTTCTGGCCTCCACAGGTACAACACACACATGGTTCACAGACCCACATGCAGGCAAAACACTCACACACATAAAAATAATGAAAATGGCTCCTTAAAGGGCATCTTGCTTGATGAGTGAAATGGCTTCATTAGGTGTCACCCACGGAGGAGTAGACAACTACATAAACCTATATTTTCCTCATGTCACTAATGCTCCATCTGCAAGATTACATGCTATAGGGCTTACGTCAGAAGCTCTGATGCAAACCTGAATTCAAGGTGCTATCTAGTGTTTAAGTAGCACAGCTGACCCTAAAGCCATTTGTGGATGTGTACCCATCCCTGCCTTCATCAAGGACCCTTGACAATAACTGCTCAGCTGTGGGGATGATACCTTGGTTTGCAGCAGGCTGGCATGAAGAGTAACTAAAGGACAGCCTGCTAAAGATGGAGCCAGTTCTATTGTCTGTTGCTTTGATAAAATGACCAAAACCTGCTTAGGAGGAAAGGGTTTAGTCACCTCACACTTCAAGGCCACAGTCCATTATGCAGGGAAGTCAGGCCAGAAATCAAGGCAGGAACCTGGAAAGCAGGAACTGACCCTGGAGGGACACTGCTCACTGGCTTTCTCATGGTTTGCTCAGCTTGCTTTCTTAGACACCCCGGACAACCAGTGCACAGCAAGCATACAACAAAATGGGAATCACCATTATGGCCCTTACTACAAACAAAGAGCCTAGCACAGTCTTTCATGCCATTGTTTTTGCATATATTAAAATCAGGCTTTCTGTTGTACCTGCTGACACAGGATTACACTCAGATACCCAGGTTGGTCTGGGACTCAGTTCTCCTTTCTTGGCTTCACAAATGCTAGGCTCACAGGTGCACCACCATGTCCAACTCTTCATAAGGTTTTCTCCAAAGTGAAACACTCACCGCCAAAGGATTAGTCTGCTCAATCTGAACACTCTATTTACCTTAGCTTCTCCCTTACTTTAGCCTGGTTTGTAAACCACTACCCGTGTATTTACACATGGAAGCAGGCTTAAACGAACCGCCTTAGATATTGGGTCCACCTCAACCTGGCTATCACACTGCTCTAGACAGTCACTTCCAGGCACCAGTATCTTTGTACAAATCTGTCTATGCACATCTATAGTTCACTTACAGAGAGACATTTTGTTTTCAAATTCCACTGGGGAAAAAGCAGACTTAGAAACATAAATGTATAGCTCATTTTACAATGCCACCTTCTTACCTCCTGCAGAAACTTCTCACTCATCTGACTGAAATGATGCCCTGGGGGCTTGATCCCAGACACCATCAGTCCAGAGGGGAAGACCCTCGGCTTCTGCAAATCAGGCTTGAATTTCTCGTACATGTTGGCAGGTGGCTGGAGGTCACGGTTGGCTGTCTTCTCCTCTTGTGGAAGAGGCATGCCACATGCAGGAGGGGCATACGGAAGCCCCACGGGGACCAGTGAGGCATCCCCCTGACCCAGTGCCTGGGGGTTCCTACGGATGTAAGTGATGATCTTGGGCCTCACGTGTTTGGGCTTCGGCATAAGGACTGGCTTTGTCTCTGTTCTTTCTTCCACTTTCTCCGTCTCCAGTTTCTCGGTTGCTTCCTGCGAGGAGGGTGTGTCCTTGGGATGTGAAGGAGGCTTGGGGATCCCACTGGGGCAGGTGCTCCTGTCGGGCACTTTCAGGGACGTGTTCAACACCTGCCCATCATCAGTGGGGGACAAGGCCATCGAGGGTGACCCCGCGTCCACGCTGAACTGAGAACTACTACCTTGAGGAGTGGGGTGGTGAGTCAAGTTCACAGTTGTCTCTGGGTGGAGGGGGGCTGGGGTGCTGAAAACTGAATCTCCTCCAGCTGGAGTGCCTTCGGTTTGGGCTGCGCTTTCTAGAAGGTTCCCGTCTTCAGCTACAGGTGTCGCTGTCTCTCTGCCTTTCCTGGCTTCTGAGTTGCCACTGTGAGGGCCCAAGAGCTCAGGGTCCTCACCTCTGTTCCCTCCCACAGAGGGACCTGTGGTCAATGCCTTGACACTGTCTGTGTTCTGGCTACCCTGCCTCCTCTCCTCCCTACTGACCTCGGAGGAAATGCTCTCAGTCGTATCACGGAGAACACAAGCTATGCGACCATCACTAGGTACAAAGTCACTGGATGCTGTTTCCCTAACCCTCCTACCTCCAGGGCCTGGTGATGTGTTACCAGTAAGTCTAGTACCTCCCTCTCCAGGAGCAGTGTTCTGCGCCGGGGTGGCTTGCTGAAACCCCTCCACACCGGCACTGACTCCCATCACTTCTTCCAGGCCGCTGCCTTCTTCTACTCCAAGCTGGTGGTGGCTACTGTTCAGTTGGCTCGTGGCTTCTTGATGTGTCTTCTCCTGTAGCTCCTTCCTCTCCACAGGTGACATGCTTTTCTCCTCATGACATCCCAGCCCCTGTGCCTGGGCTGACTTTAGCCCCTGCTCATTCCTGGGCTGCAGATATTTGCGCTCCACTTTGAGCTCCCCTGTTCCTTGACCCTTGCACACTTCTGGGTGACTGGGGCTGGGAATTACCTTCAGTGCTGAAGCTGAATTGGGAGTCCATTCTGGGTGAGCGATACACTCGCTGTAAACGTCCAGGCCCTGCGTCCCTTCCATCTTGGTGTCTGATGGGATGGACCCCCTGGCTTCTGAGGTAGATGGTTTAGGAGGACGTACACACCTCCCCTCTGAGGTATTCTCCCCTAGAGATAAAACTGTCCCCGGAGCGTGACCAGTCAATGTCCCCTGGGGCCCCTCCCCACGCCCAGACACAAGGCCCTGTGGCTCTGAGGTGCCCAGCCGCACGGCCTGCAGATTCTCCCGAATGAGACCGCCAGCTGCAATTGCTGAGCTGCTGGCTCTTTTCAGCTCTTCGTTGTCAAGGGTCTTCGCCAGTTTGTCCTTGGGAATGTGCCGGGGAACTTCAGCTCCCCTTTTAGCCGAACCCTCCGGACTGGCCTGACCCACTGCATTCCTCCAGCTGGCTAAGCCTGGTTCCTGAACACCCTGGGGGGTCTGCAGGATAGCTCTTTTCACTGTGTGTTCTTCACTCAGTTGTCTATGAACAGCCAGAGAAGGATGAAAATCCCTCTGGCTGGTAGAGGCAGCCTGAGCCCCTTTCCCAAAGCCCTGAGGTTGAGGGGGCTCCTTCTGGGAGTGGCTGTGGTACTGTGGCCTGCTTATATTTGCATTTCCAATTCCATCATCCAGATCATGTGTCCCAGGCTCATCATGCGGGGAGCTGACCTCCAACATGATTTGATTGGCATTTGTATCTCCAGTGCTTAGCATGCTCTCGTTATTGTTTTTTGCCCGCTCTTGGTGCTCTCGCAACTGACTGAAACAGGGTTTCTTTGGAACCAGTGGGATACTCATGGTCACCTCTTCAGTGAGGGCTGCTGGCCATGCAGTCCCCCTTCAAACTGCAGGGCAACAGGCAGCCGTCTTGTTGCCTGTCCTCCTGTGACAATGTCACATCTAGATGCTACTTTGAACCTCTTCAGACAAGTTTCAGAACGAACCATTGTCTTGACACGCAGTGAAACAACTCACTGTGCTCCATTGCTGCTGAAACCAATTAGTCCATGAGACCTGCAAAGAAATGAAAACGTGGTCACTTTAGAGTGAAGACAGCAATAACCTTGAGTAAGAGACACATTCAAGAGCTGGCATTGGTGACACACGCCTTCAATCCCAGCACTCAGGAGGCAGAGGCAGGCAGGTCTCTGTGAGTTCCAGGCCAGCCTAGTCTACAGAGCAAGTTCCAGTACAGCCAGGAGTGTTATAACAGAGAAACCCTGTCTCAAACAACGACCAAAGACAAACAAACAACACCATCACCAGAAGGATGAGTATGACACAAGCCATTTGGGGAAGAAAATAAAAATCCCATGCAGATAATTTTCATCACAGTGCTTTGTTTTGACTGCTCTGTTCTATTGCTAATTTATTTGCTAACCTCTTGGCCACATGGACAAGGCACACTTTATGTGTAGGGAAAAGGTACCACCTGTAAATCCAAGCATCCCAGGGATCTTGAACTGTATCCTCACCAATAAGGGTAGAGCCCAATACACACAGCTGAGATCTGTGAGCCCAGTATGCTTGCCCTTACTGTAGTGTCTCTCTCCATCTCAGCCCCTACTTTCCTAACATCTGACCTTAGCATGCTTGCCAATTCTGAGATACACCTCTTTTTCCCGTTCATTTCTTTTCTACCTGTTCATACACATTTTTCCACCTAAATGAAGTCCTTTCATATAATCTGGTCCTTAGTCAGTTTTGTTTTCTTATACATCCCTTCCCCTCTTTACCCCAGGACATACTAACACAATGTGTCCATTCTGCATGTCCTGGGAATGTAGACTCTTGGGAACATATCCTCCACCACTTGCTGCCACGCTGATCTTGGGTTCTTCCCACACCTCCCTCATGGTCCCTGTTTTTCCTACTCTCACATCCCCCCACCCCTGCATGCCAGTAGCACCCTGAGGTGCATCCTGGCCTCAATACAGCCAGCCCCTAACTGAGGCATTGAGCCTAACACAGGAAAGTTGTGACAAAATTGCCATTTCGTTCTTGTTTCCATTTTGAGAATGTGTTCCATTTGAAGATACATTTGTCCTCCCGGCACAAATACTAACAACATCTAGGCAGATTCATGGGACAGCCATTTAAAAAGAAGCTGGACCCTGCAGGCAGGGGTGTGAGTGTCCCAAAGAGCCAAGGAATTCACAAGTGTGGCCATCCACAGAAGGGCACCACCTCTGAGTCCCTAGAGATGGAAGTACAGACACAAAGTCAAGAGCTCTCTGTCTGAATCTCATGAAGAAACAAAACCAGAACACCAGAAACCACAAGGAGCAATGGGACTTCTAGAAAGTGGCTAAGGCCCATGAAATCAGTGTCTTGCTAGAGAAATCTGTGTTGTGTTGTGTTGTGTTTGGTTGGTTTTGGTTTTGCTGTTTTGTTTTTTAGCATATTTCTTTTACTTGATATGCATGGGTGTTTTACCTGCATGCACGCCAGTGCATCATGTGCATGCAGTACCCGTAGAGGCCAGAGGGGGCATCAGATCCCTTGAAACTGGAGTTATAGATGGTTTTGAGCAGCCATACCTATGCTGGGGATTGAACCTGCGTCCTCTGCAAGAGCAGCCAGGGCTCTCAATGGCTGAGTCATCTACCTCTCCAGTCCAACATTGGAGACTTTTTAACAACATCATTAACATTTAACAAGACCACTGTAACATACATATCCATTGTTGGCCAAAATGTCCCTACAGAGGACACAGGTACAATGGGGGCATTGGGTTTTTCTGTCTGTGCCCATCTTTAACCACTAGGCAGGCTCAGATGTCTCTAGTTCACCAGCTCTGTAAACAGTTGGGCACCTTATCTAGAAGCTTCTTTGGCTGAGGGCATATCTACTTTTGAATCATGAAATGGATTGATGTCATCTGGACACTCACATACAATCTCTTTATCCATCTTAGATTCCAGTTTCCCCTGAGCTATGTTTGTTCTGACAATGTATCATTAAAGTCACCCACACACAATGAGAAACTCAGCAGATCCAACCCTGTGTCATCCTCATTGTCACCCTGAGTCACCTGACTGAATGACAGGTTAGAGTCAGAGGTTCTCATTTTGACACCTGAGCTTCAATGATCCTTCTGTGGTTAAAGACTTAAATATGTGTATAATTCTACTTCAAACACGCCTGCCTGTTAAATAATGCTTCCTATCAACAGCATCAAAATCCAGACTAGCCGGGCATTGGTGGCGCACGCCTTTAATCCCAGCACTTGGGAGGCAGAGGCAGGCGGATCTCTGTGAGTTCGAGGACAGGCTGGTCTACAGAGCTAGTTCCAGGACAGTCTCCGAAACAATACAGAGAAACCCTGTCTCGAAAAACCAAAAAAAAATCCAGACTAGACTCCCTCCTCCCCAGAAAAATGCTACATGAGAGTTACGTGTTGTTTCTCAAGTCCTGAGTCTGTGCATCTCTCCTGTGGACCAGCCCGACTACACATTTATCGCAGTCATGTTTTTCTTCCAACCGAAGATTTCCCTCCCTCTGCTCCTCCCAGTTCCTTCCCCACCTGGCCTCTATCCCTCCCCCAACCACTCCTCCTCCACTGTTTCTCTTCAGATACAGGTGGGCCTCCCATGGATATCAGCCAGTCAAGGTGTAGCAAGCTGTAGGGAGACTAGGTTCCTCCTCTTCTATTAAGGCTGGATGAGGCAGTCTGGGGGCATTGGAGTCAGAGACAGCCCCTGCTCTCACTATTAGTCATCTCACAGGACCACCACGTTCCACAACTGTAACATATATCCAGAGCACCTAGGTCAGTCCCATGTAAGCTCCCTGGTTGTCAGTTCAGCCTCTGTGAGCCCCTGTGAACCCAGGTTAACTGACTCTGTGAGTTTCCTTGTGGTGTCCTTGACCTCTTTCACAGCCATGCTCTTGAATTTACTATCTACCAACTTTCACACACACTCAAATCTGAGAACGTGGATGTCCTTCACGTAAAATGTTGTAGGGCTGTCATAGAACCTATGCACACCTTCCTTTATACATTCAAATGCCTCTAGGTCTCTTACAATCACTAATACAAAGCAATATTTAATTCTATAATGCTTAGGGACAGTGACAAGAAAAGTCGATGTGTTCAGCAGAGGTGTGGTTTTTAAATATTTCCCATCTGTGGTTGTCTGAAGCCACAGATGTGGAACCCCAGAGATGGGGGGCTGCTGTACATTTAATTTTACAGCAGTTAAATGTGCTTTGCATTAAGCTGTGTGTCTTACTCATTTTAGGAGACGATGAGCAGACTACATTAATGGTTTAGGAGCCTCTGTCCTTCTCTGGCTTCTGGGACAGCTTTCTTCGGCATAGATAAGTCAGATGAAGTGACCCAACCGGATCCCAATTTGAGCTCGAAATAGTGAACACTCACTACCCTCAGGTTAGCAAGGATTCTACTGTTTTTCAGTTGTATATTTGTCGGTTTAAATGATAAAGTCGCTCTTCTAGATGAAAAACTGGCTACCTCCTCCCCAGGACTGAATCAAGGGAAAAAATGAGAAAACTACTTTCTGGGGTTGGAGAGATGACTCAATGGTTAAGCACTTGATGCTCTTGGAGAACTCATGTTTAATCCCAGCACCAAAGTGGCGGTTGCACATTGTCTCTATCTCCAGTTCCAGGGGGATGTGATGCCCTCTTCTGACCTCCATAGGTACCATAGGCATATGGTTCATAGACACACAGGCAGACAAAATATCCAGACACATTAAATAATAAAAATGATATTTCTAAAAATTAAAGAAAAACTCCATTCTTTATGTAGTATTGCCATGTATATCTGTTATAGCCATTAGTTTCTTTTTAAAGTAAAGTTGTAGAGATTTTCATATCACTAACAGGAAAATTGCTTTTAAAAGACTAAAACTTATGCTTACAGTCTCCCTGAACCACTAAGTCTGCTGTGAAAGGCTATAAGTTTTAGTATACATATTCAAACACTGTACCTTTGCATGCACCACCTATCCAGTGAACACAGCAACATATTCCCCTGCAGAAGAACTTCAGTATGGTAACCATGCAAAGAGTCAAAAGTCAAAAGTCCCAAGCTTAAACTTTAGTAGACAACTTTCCTGAGCAAATATATGCTATCTGCAATATTCAGTTGAACTTAATCTTGTAATTTTATATGTACTTACACATGATTGCTTATAGACCCACCTGTTCCTCTGCCTTAGCAATCTCAGAATGTAACAGTTGTAGTTATTCATATTCTTGGCCCTATTTTATAGTGTTTCATACATCAAAGTAGTCTTTATTCAAAAATCTTGGGTAAAAGAAGTGTTTCAAATTTTGTACTTTTTCCAGATTTAGGTATGCATACTGAGATGCCACAGGATCCGACTCAAGTCTAAACACAAGATTCATTTATATTTAGCCTGCACATTTTATGTATTACTTAAGCACAATGTCACACAATGTCTTTAATGCATATGCATTTTTACCACAACATATTTACAAGGTCAGGAAGTGACATGTTCTGCTTGTGGTATTGTATCAACACCCAAAATATTTGAGGTTTGTGGGCCAGTAGGATGTGTAAAAGTGCTGGTTGCCCAAACACTTGAGTTTAGTTCCAAGAACTCACAGGGTGGAGAGACCAGATTCACACAAGTGATCCTCAAACCTCCCATGTCTATGAGACACACATGCAGACCACACACACACACACACACACACACACACACACACACACACACGCACGCACGCACGCACGCACGCACGCACGCACGCGCGCACACGCACCGAATAAGTAAATATAAAATAAAATACTAATCTTTCAAATCAGGGGTGCTTAATCTGTCTGTGTTTCCTCTCAACTAATACTCTAAAACATGATCCTCTGCAGATTAAACAAGCTTTACAGGTTCAATCCCACTGTAATGTGCTTTAATATTGGTAGGGTGTCCAAGCAAAGACTCCTAGCTGAGGCTGGCTCGGTAGCTGTCCGTGGTGCTGAACTCAACAGTGACAGCTCCTGGGGCTGGCTTTGTTCCTTGCTT